GGGTTGAGGGTTGAGGGTTGAGGGACCTGAGGAGCATTATTATTTTTATGCTTGTTATTAAAACTATTACTACTACTTTTTTATATGATTATTATTGCATGTATTGCTATTGCTATGATTATTATTACGATTACTAATATTATCATTGTTACTATTGCTATTATTATTGCTCGGAATATTTCTAAAACTATTATGGATATAATTTGCATTATTACTATAGTGATTCTTATTGTGATTTTTTTTAATCATATTATGGCTATTGCTGTGATCATGGTTATGAGGACTGTGATGCTTTGAGCGACCGCCAGTATCTCGGGGAAGTTTTGGAGGGTTTTACTCTGAAGATGTGTGGTTGTGCTGAGAGGATACATGCACTGTGCAGAACAGTGCCGCAGCTTCACCCGCCTCTGGAGTTTCTTTGCGCTGAAGCTTGCACTGCTGTCCTCTGGCTCCAGATGAACGGGGTCTAGCCTTGCCACCAGCTGCCGCCGGGGTTAGGCGGATGGAGGCATCCTTGGAACAGCCTTCTTTTGCAAAAAGCCAGCATACTTACTGTGGTCGCTTGTTGCAAGGCGAGTCCGAACAAGAAGAAGAAGGTTCATGACCATCGAAAGCTCTTCAAAGAGGGTCAGACTTTCTGCCAGCATTCGACTTGCCCGTGCTTTGCATTCTGAACGTTCTGCTGGACCGGCACTGGCACCTTACTTGCTCCTTCCTGTCTGCATGTTGCCATTGCCCAGGAAGCATCTGACACCACCCGTGGCAGACCCAACCCGTGCCTTCTACGAGTCGCTGCTGGAAGAGAAGCCGGACAGCGCCATCGCAGTTCGATTCTGTGCCTGGGCGCAGTCATAGTGGGTCTCTCCCTGCGATATATTTCAGGCCTGCCCCAGCCTTGTGTTTTGGTGAGCTTTCTGGGTGTCCAGGTGTAGAGCACGGTGTGAAGCCACTGGAAGAGCACAAGCTGCTTGGCCTCGCAATAATCGTCATGTAGAAGTGGGCTTTCGCAAATTTTGCGCTTCGAGCATTCTATTACACACTAGGGCACCCTGATCTTGAGAGGTTGCTGTTGTTTCTTGTTTGTATCTTGCCTTGTTGAGCAGAAATCGTAATGCGACGCGTGGTGCCTTTCACCGATTCTGGCCATGACCCATGGGTCATTTCTGGGCTCAACTCTGAGAGAACTCCAAAGCAGTAAGCCCGCAAACTTCTCCTTAGGGTTAGTAGTACGTTAGAAAGAGGCGAAGGAATCAGGTGCGGAGGTTCCTTGTTGGTTGCAGCTGGTGTCAGGCCCTTCCCTATCGACTAACCAGCAATGAAGCTCCTCAGGAAGCTGCTGAAGAAGTACAACTTGCTGAGAGAGAAGGGGGCATTCAGCGTAGCGACCAAGATCAAACGAGCACTGGAAAGGAAAGGGGACAAGCTGGGCATTAAGAAGGAAAAGAAAGACAAGAAGGAGAAGAAGGCCAGGGGGTATGTCTTGAGTCACCTGTGTGCAGCCTGTATGTATCTCTTTGTTGTAGGAGAAAGGAAGCAAGGAGAACGCTGCTCAGAACTCTGAGAAGGCGTAGCCGCAGCCATGCCCATGATGTAGGGGCCGTTGAGGCACCTGAAATGGGACAGCCGAAGCAGCCTCTAAAAGACTCAGCGGCGCAGCAAAAGCAGCATGGTACATATGCCTGGCAAGGGCTGCCACTAAGGGCAGCTCTTTGACTCCTTGAATGTGCCCCTGGCAGTGAAGGAGCATGGGCGAAGGATTTCAGCATTGTTGGGGAATCTCAGAACTGGCTCAGGTGTTGTGGCCGATGTGGCTATCCCTGCTCAGCTTGCAAGGTGCCCCGTGGACAGTGGGGCATGTGGGCCAGATTTTTGAGTCTCAATAATACTAGTAAGAATTCTAGTCATACAGGTAATACAAATCATAGTGATAGAAATAGAATTAATAATACTGGTGTAACCCCCCTGTGCTTGCCTGTGGCCCTTTGTTTTGCATCAGTCCTTTAGACACGTGGAAGCTAATGGGGCAGGTCTACACCCTCGGAAGGCTCATGTGCTGCAAGCAGCCCAGACACGCCATCCAACAAGGCGTGGGAGGGACGGCAGTGTCAGAACAGACAGGTCTAGAGACAAGCAATTACATGAGCTAGAGTCTAAACTCCTTAAAGGGGAGTAGGACTACTACAGGGGGTATTAATGGGGCTACTAGGAGTCTAGGTTATGGCTTACATCAAGAGAAAACTTGTAAAACACCGACATGAGCATTAATCTGAGATATACACATGCGCGCACGTGTACATACGTCTATTAATAATCGTTGATGTGCGCGTGTGTATGTGACACGGTACAACATGCAGAACGCTGTATGACATGATATTTTGCCGTAGTATATCCTTACACTAATTGGCCTTACTTCAAGTTACTAGCAAATTGAGTTACACGTGCATAGCATATAGTCAGCGAGACAGAGAGCGATATATATCTATATATACATGTGTATACATACACATTTGTGTTTGTGTACGCATATGCACATACCCAGTCAAAAACATCTACATGCATTTTGCCACACACATGTGCGCGTGTGCACATATATATATATATATACATATACACGCACACACACATATATATATATACATATGTACACACATAAGCAAATATGATGCGTATGGCAGTCACCTTCCCAGCTACTTCGTCGGCAGGCATACGACGGGGAGTCGGAAGCAGCGAGGGGTGGCCCCGAGGAGCTTGTGAATGAGCCGTGCTTGGCTAAGACTGCTAGAAGGGGCCCTTGAAGCCTTTTAATAATAGGGTATATTGGGATTATATGGGGGATATATAGGGGTAATAGAGGGGTAATATAGGGGATATATAGGGGTAATATTGGGATAATGGAAAAGCAAATGGAAACTCTGTAAAAATCTGGTGCCGAAACCGTGCCGAAAGGCAGTCAGCACCTGCCCTGCTTTCTGCCATCCATGCCATTGCGGCAGCAGACGATGAAATGTCAGCAGCCCAGCAGGTTCTGAAGCAGCCACCTCCATGTCTTTGTATTGTTCATTCTAAGATGCTGGAGCGTCCTTCATATCTTCGCTGCTTGCAGCACACTGAAGTGCCTTCCAGATAGGCCTGGAGCATCAGTCCCAGTACCTTTGCAGCTTCGGGCCGCGCGAGCAGCATCCCGGCGAGAAATACGTAACAGCACTGGGTTGGCACCGACGCCTGCTGTGTACTGCCTGTTTGTGCCCAGAAGCTCAATCCAGGCTCGGCGGCTGCTGACAGGCCATTGGTCTCACATACATGGCGACAGTGTGATTTGTGCTTTTCTCTGCTTCGAGGTGGTGGGACAGCTCTCACAGCCGCAGCCGCTGTGGATGTGCTTGGGGACCCGTGGGAAAGCGGCTGTTGGACATGACATAGCAGTTGCGTATGTGCATGTTTTCACGCCCCACTAAGCAAAACATCTGTTGTGCATGTTTTCACGCCCCACTAAGCAAAACATCAGTTGTGTTTTCTGGACCTGCTTCTGAAATCCTGTTGCTGCGATCGCGAATGAGCATGTTTTCACCTTTCCACGAGGCAAAACACCGCTGAAGTTTTTGTTGTGCCTGTAGCTGTCAGATGCAAAGGCATGTTTCGAGGGAAGTATGCTCATGTGATTGGTGAGTTCTTTTTTGATCTGTTGTTGATTGCAGCTGACACCGCCTCTCACGGTTTCTTGTTTGGGAAGTTGGGCTCATTTGATGTTAGGATGCTGGCGCTTCAGTTGTGGCCTTGAGGAACCTTTTTAGGAACTTGAGCTCATGTGATTCACTTTGGCCCCCTAAATGGGCCGCTCTAGTCCACATCACATGCTCTGGAAGTTCATACTACTGTGCCCTCGGAGGGGTTTTGCATTTCAGATTGCAAATTTTCTTGTGTCGTTGCGTGTTCGGCCACTGGCCACCTGTCTTCGGCCACTGGCCAAAACTTATAAACGAAACGCTCTGATACGCTACTGTCTCAGTATTGCGTCTATCCGGATTTAAGTGTGGCAACAAGCAACGCCCGGCAGGGTGGAGTAACAATAGTTGCTTGACCACACGCGGCTCCCTGCCAGTAGAAATTGCTAGCAGTTGTTTTCGTTGGTCTCAGCCACTGGCTACAAACAAATGGGGCCATGTGCCACAAGATGATAAGTTTAAGTTTATGATGAATGAATCCTCATCCGGTTCTCATGAGGACTTTGGTGGCAGTGGGGATCTTGCCGAGTTCCGCCGGCGGGCAGCCCATCGATTGACGCTAAAGCACATGAGAGGAAGTCTGCTGACTGTAGGTGGGGCCTTTTCAGTTTCGACGACCACCAGGTGCCCATAGACAACTCTTGTTGTGCATGGGCTAGATGAGTCACGAGGGCAGCAACGGTGGAATCGCAGTTCGCCGAATCCTTTGGTTGGCTCAAACGGCTCATGGACGCAGGAGGGAAGCTTTAAACGTAGAATCTAGATAGGAAGAACTCCAACACCTGACCTGCACCAGACGATCTTTAAACAAGCTTTAGATGGCACTTGCAGAGGGACTTCCGCCAGCAAGATCTTAGCCACGTAAAGTTGTCCCGCAAAGACACGACCCTCGCCTCGTGACCATGAAGGGCCCTGCAAAAGGAGGGAAGAAAGGCTGGTCTACTTGCGGGTTTTCCAAGATTAGGGGTTATACCATTAAAGGGGTTATAGGGGTTATATA